AGTGTAGTTGGGCTTGCACTAATGCGGTATTGGGAGTTTGCTGCACTTAATCTAAAAGAAATTGGCAAGATTGCACTTAGGTTGTACAGCATTAAAGTCAATTCAGCCCCATGTGTACGATTTTTTTTCATATGGGGTGGTTTCATAACCCTAAACGATGTTGCCTTAAGGTAAGAATTGAGTTATCGATTCCTATAGCTATTATATCTGAAATGTGGTGATCGCTTACATATAAAAAAGCAATGCATGAAGCCGAATTATAGTCATCACATTTTAAAATTTATGGCTAATAAATAGCGTTATATGACTCCTGATGTTTGTATTGTATTTTATTTTGCAGATAAGCCCGGTTTTTCAAATGACTCAAATTGCTGTAGAAATGACATGGGAAGAACGTCAAGAAAAAATTGAAAGTGTTCGAAATATAGCCATTAGGAATCAAATTATAGGTTCAGTGAATTATGATGCACAAACATCATCTTATGAACGATCAGAACCTAGCACAATTAATTTCAGTGATAGTATAAATGTTTCAATGCTTGATGATAATGAAAATAATAGCAAAAACATAACCGAAGAGATTGATAATAAGGAAGATGATACTAATGAAAATAGTAGTGATAATGACACAGACGAGGACCTGACTGATGATGAATCAATCATTAAAGAATGGACTGAAATAGATGAAGATGAAAAGAAGAAAGTGAAGATCCCGAAGAAACAAACATAAGCACCTTGAATACTGCTGACAGACTTAATTGCCATCCAGCCGATCATAAAAATTCAAAAATTGAATTACAATATCTTTTTTCGCGCGTCTTAACCCAACCGTCGTTCGTTCGCACTATTGAACAAGATATTGAAAATATCGAAGAAATACAATAAGGTGGGTTGTATTTTGATAAAATAATTAGAGATTAAGTTTTATAAACTGTTAATTCTTATTTATTTTATTTAAATTAAAAAATATTGGATTAGTCTTTTGTCCAGAACTTACGCACGAATCTATTGGTCTGCGATTGATTGAAATAATTGGTATATACAAAAGAATTGTTTTAGATATTTAGTTTTCCACTTATTATATTGATTTTACTGAAGGATTTGGAAAGGTTAAATATGATTGAAAAAAAAGAGAAAAAAAAAAAAAAATTTATAGGGCTAGCATTAATGAAAATATCTGGTTATATGGATTTGTTATAAATTCCTATTGGACATTGTAAAAGATTTTGAATAAATAAATATATATATATGTTGTATGTCGGAATCAACTTAGGTTGATTCTAAATATGCTTAAATTGAAACGAAATTTTAAATCCACACAAATCGTTAAAGAATTTTGAACTTAAAGTTAATTCTGAATCCACTTGTGCATATTAAATTTAAAGTTAAAAATACAGCAATAATCGTGAAGCTATTAGTATATGCATTCTGGCCATATATTCTAGCCACACTAATTATTACAAACATGATTTTCTGCTTCCGCAGGGCAATTTTGCCTTTTTAAATATTGAGCTAAACTATGGAATGCGTATATTTTCAATTTATTGGTAGGTTTCTGAGCAATACTTCAATTATTCGTTAAGAATTTATGAAAACAAAGTTCTCTCAATCTAGTTGTAGAGAAACAAATCATCACTAATAAATTTCTTAATCGAATTCAGGTTGACTAAATTTCAATAACTATGACTAGCTTTCCAGACTATAGTTGTCATCTAAACCAAACTTGTTTAGGACTTTGGACTTCTAGAGTATAGTTATATCTAGAGTAGTCCATGGGAAACTGGTGTCGTGGGTTAATAATGACTTGCGTCAAATAAAAACCTAGCTCAGGTAAATAGGGCACAAACAATTTTAATGGAAGTAAGGACGATTTATTAAAGGAAGGTACGAAGTTTATTATTCGATTGATTCTATTTTAGACTAACCAACTCTTTCTCTCTCTGGCTACTTCTTATTTTTGCTTTTGCTCTTAAATACATACTTTCCAATCGCTCATGCAATCATTATTACAGACTTTTAATTAATTATGCAAACCGAATCACGCCATTCATACAAACCCTGATCACGATATTTAATCAACACGTACCCGATCACTAGTCATATGGGTACCGCATAGCACCGTGACACTGGTTCGTACTAGGTTCGTACCTAGTCCAAACCGGCAAAAACTAGTCCTATAATCTTGTAATTTCAAGGTTATCTAATTGGCTAATTTATGTTGATCTCAGATATGATTACAATACTGAAACGAATTTAAACCATTAAAGTAAAACTGGCTTTTAATTTTTCTTGACAGGGGTGAACTAGTTCCTTAACTAGTTCGGACCCAGACTTTTTAGGGACCGGGACCAGACTGCTAGGGATGTTAAAAGTTTGGTCCAGTCCGACTCGACTTCAGTCTGACTTGGAACCTACTCTCACTTCACGTGCATCTTGAACATTTAAATAACCAAAAAAAAAGTGTATTTGCTGTATTTCTGTATTTAATATACAAGTTGCAAGTGAAATGCAAGTCGAGACCCAAGTCTGACTTGGGACTGAACTTTAATAAAAACCTGACTCTTTTGGAGTCAACTCAAAAAACTGACCTGGACTAGACTTTTAAGGACGGCCCCCAAAAGTTCGGTGACGTAAGATTAGTTAGTGCCATTTATTGGCTCTCTTTTAGCTGCATATTGTAGATCATTTTCTTATAATCCAATACCGAATATCGCTATAATCTCTGTCACCGAACTTTTGGGGGCCGCCCTGGATGATTTGACTTTTAACGTCCCTACAGACTGCACCAGGCACACCACCCTAGTTGTATTGTAAGTTTAGGTTTTGGAACTAGTTTGTATTGAAACAGTTGTGGATTTGGGTCAATAGTTATAACTATTTGGATGGCAAGACGGAGACTTCAATTATGAGCACTTTCAAGCAAAAGATTTAGTTTTTCCCCTGAGCAGATATTCATTGTCTAACCATTGATAGTAGTGTATCTCATGGATTGCTCATGAGTGTTTCATGGTTCATCTCATGCTACGCAAAAAACAATTAGAACAATTGTAATATGCAAAGTATTGATACTGGGAGATTTTCACGCTAATTCTTTTTTTTTAATCTTCTAAAAAAATTTTTGAGTTAAATAGGAAAGAATAATCTTTTTTCTAATATTGGTTGTACAACCCAAATTTTTCTATGCCTAAAAAAAAGCATTAGTGTGAAATTGCCTAGTGTCGATAAGTATTGATACCCTGCATATTATTATTATTCTAATTGTTTTTTGCGTAGCATGAGATGAACCATGAAACACTCATGATCAATCCATAAAGCACTACCAACAATAGTCAGACAATGGATATCTGCTCAGGGGAGGTCTAAATTTTTTTGAAAATGCTCTATGTTTGTTACATGAGTTGAAATTCTTCTGTTTAGGCTTAGATAAGTGTGCATAACTAGTGTTACATATAGATAATATTAGTAAATGTAAATGTAAAAGTATCTGTTATATCTGTCATCCAACAATCACGCTTGTAATAATTAGAGTTGAATATTATGGTGCACTTAAGATAAAAATTTTTATAAAAAGCATATTTATTTATAAAAGTTAGTGAAATAAAATAACTCTTGATTTACTATCTAATTATAAAAAAAACCTCAAATTAGAAAAATAAAATTTTTGAAATTGAACTTTAAAATCTTAACTAGTAATTTAACTAACTCTGATTGTATACTAAATTTATTTATTTAATAGACTAAACTATTTGACCAATTTGACCAAACCATTTGACCAATTTGACCAGACCAGTTTGACTAATGAATTTTTGGTTAATCAATGATTTGACCAACTCTGAATATATTGTATTTTTTATTTTGATTGGCTAAACTATTTGACCGATTTGACCAGTATAAGCCCTTTGACCAGACCGGTCAAATTGGTCAAATTGGTCTGGTCAAGCTTGACTATTTGACCGGTTATGCCAACCCTGAATATAATATATAATACTCATTTCTAACTTCCTTTAAACAATTAAAGCGCCTATTATACAATAAAATTTTTTGTAATTTTTATATTTTATAAATTTCTGTTATTTTTTATACACACATCAATGATTTTCAACAACATTTATTTGTATATTCGTCTTTTATTAGTTCTGTCACCTTTACAGGTAACAGTGGTGGCAGAAAAAATTCGCGATCAGATGATTGTGACCCAATAAACTAATACAGTAATGTCTAATTTTTGTATGTATGTGGGCAATGACTAGCGACCCACATCCTTTGACATGAGATCTGACATTAAATGAAATAAAATACATAGTCATCAGTGTTAGTTTGACTGGACCAGTTTGACCATTAGACCAAACCAATTTGACCAATTTGACCGGTCTGGTCAAAGATCATGTACTGGTCAAATTGGTCAAATAGTATATTTAAATATAATTTATTATATAATATATATATTATATTTACATAATAGACTTGACCAATTTGATTATTGACCAATTTAACCAGTAAATTTTTGGTTGACCACTAATTTGCCAACACTGAATTGTGAATTACAGTACATATAAATAAATTGTAGTTTATTTAAAACTACAGTTTTTACAATAAACTACAGTTTACTTATACTAACTAATAATTTACAGATCGCACCTCATAGGCAGACTTTCATATGATTGGCAGTTTAAATCAATTTAATTTTACATTATTTATACAGTTTAAAGTACTTTTTTAAAAAAAAAAAAAACTACGTAGAATAAACAAAAAAGAAGTATATAGAAAGTTTTATTAGGGTTGTGGGACTCCACTATTAAAAATAATCAAAATTCTTTTTTGTTTTAGAGAAGCTATCATGGTGATAACCTAATTCTATCTATCGTTTCTAACCGCAGCGCACCTTTGAGTCATAACCTAACTTATTACATTAAGTAATTAGAATAGAACATTATACTTTATCACTAAAACAATTTCGTGCATAATGACTTCACATTCTTTCCAAATCGATGATAATGGTGATATTCGTTTACCATTTGGAAGAGCAGTAGAACAATATTTATATTCACTTCCTATATCACAAAATACCCGTTACAAGGTTCAAAGTTAAAAACGAGTGAATGATGCTGTAAAAAAGGGGCTTGTAACTATTGAACGTGTAGAAAGTTCTTCTGATTATCTTGGCTGGGAAACTAAAGAAGGCATTCGTAAATCAACAAATCGCCTTGATGATATTTTGCAGCTTACAGAAAATGGAAAACATCAGGTTCAACAGATACATGATAAAAAAGAAAGTGATATTTAAGTTTGGAGATGGGTTTGGTTTTGTTCTGGTGAAGGTAATTGCCAAAGATTATGTGGAGGAATTGGCAAATGTATTGATACCTGTAATCATTATTTATCTCAACATAACCTTAAAAAATGCACAAGTGCAATGTACGAATTATTACTGAGATTATGCTCTCTGAAGTTGAAACAAGATATCCAATACATATGATTGTTAAAGGCAACCACATTTCACAAAATGTAATTCGAGAACAAACTTTTCTAATTCGAATTAATTTAAGTTGAGAAGCATGAGACCTTGTGGTTACAAGCCATTGGGCAGATAAACGTACAACAAAAGAAGTTAAAATGAAACTTCTTGCTTCACATAATGGATCCTCATTAGATAAGCTTGAACATTTATATAGTAATCAGAATTCTATATGCGATGATGTTAAGCTTTGTCAATTTATAGAACGAGATAATTTACGTGCACGAAAGCAAATAGGTTCTTGGACAATTGTTCATGAATTAGTAACTGTTATATTAAAGCAACAAGGCTCTGTATTATATTATCAACAGCCAGATATGAATACATCTGAGGATGATTCAAGTCATTACTATCAACTTACCTTGAGTGACGATTTATGGCTTCTCATTATACCATATGACGCAGATTTATTTCCCTACATCAAGCGTACATTGCAGAAAAAGGGGTATTTACCGACTTCTGATTCTTAGACGAGTTAGTTTTACCAATACATTTGATATAATTTTCTTTTTATATAATAAACAGATCTATAAAGATAAGTAGCAATGCCGTATAATAAACTATATCCATTAAACTTACCAGAAATACTAACCAAAATTTTCTCATACCTCGCTATAGATGAAGCACTATACCCAACTTTATTTGTTAACCGGTTGTGGTATTTATGCTCTGCTCCAATATTATGGAGAAAGGCTGAATTTACCGGTGATCTAAAAAAATCATGTTTCCGATGGGATAAATTCAAAAAGGTAGTACATACACGAAAACCTCTCTATATTTCAAAATTAACTGAACTTTATATTTCTAGATGTAAAGTCTCTAGTGGAACCTTATATCGGATTAGAGGACTGTGTCCGAACCTGCGTCACTTAACAATAAGCAACTGTCATGTATTTTCTAGCGAAACGATTGGAAAAATCGTATTCCCGAACTTAATATATCTTAAATTCCACAATAATGCAATAAATACCCGTAAACGTCATCATATCAAGGATAAAACAATTTGTGGGATCACATCATTATGTCCAAATTTAACTTATCTTTATTTGGGATATAGTAATAATATTTCAGATATCTCAGTAATCGAAATTGCTAAGTCGTGTAAAAAAATAGAGTATATTAATATAGGTGGTTTGGGTATTACCGATGTATCATTAAAAGAAATCGCTCACTTATGCCCAAACCTCCGACATCTTCACCTGAGTAATTGTGAGAAGATAACAGATGATGGTATTTGCACTTCACATCCAAATATGGTTGGTTTTTCTTTTGCCGATGAAGAAGGTGAATTCGTTATGGATAATATAGCTGTTTCTGATACATCCGTGAGAATAATTGCAGACTTGTGCCCTAAACTTCAATATCTCAATGTATCTTGGCGTCATATATCTGATGAATCTATTTGTGTAATAGCGCGATCATGCCCAAAACTTGAACAGCTTTATCTTGAAGGGTGTGATATCACTGATAAATCTATGTCTGCATTAGCAAATTTGTGTAATCTCCAGAAGCTTGTTATTGCTGATTGCGATGAAATCAGCATGAATGCAATTATAACCTTACAGAATAAAAATCCCACTCTCAATATTTTCGGTTGGTATTCAGATACGAATAGTGAGTCAGATACAGATGGTGTAATACAAGTTCGAATCTATGATTTATCAGAATAAAAAATCCTGTAAATATATGTATACGGCAATATAGATCATTATTTTTCAGGTATAATAATTAGTGACTTAGCTTGATCAAGATGAAAATCGAAAAGCTTGAACCGGTCGAGAGGTTTGCATATCATATCGACGAATACAAAAATCCAGAAAAATATAATTCAAAAAACTCTATTCCTCAATGGCCCTTCACATGCTTAATCTGCGGTCGAACTAACCCAGGTAAAACTACTGAAGTAGTTAATCTTTTGCTTGGAAATAAACTCTTTCGGATGTTTAATGGGAAAAAAGGAGGAAGCCGAGATATTAAGTGTGATGATGTTATACTTATTGGACACCATCTCAAGGAACCCAAATATATGTACCTTAAATCAGCATATCAAATAATCGCAAATGGTCCAGAACCACACCGTGAAGATATTACATTTCGGGCTATGAAGCCTGATAAAATTCCAAAGCTGGATTCATTTTCTCCAGAAAGAGGCACTGTAGCTATATTTGAGGATGTATGTACCGAACCAAAGAAAATTCAAGAAAAGATTATACCTTATTTTACTGAGGGACGCCATTCTAATGTTTCTTCGAGGTATATATCACAAAGCTATTTTGACTGTCCAAAACTAATAAGAAAAAATTTAAAATATGTTGTACTGTTTAATGGCTCTTGCACTTCAGATGAGCTAAGCAGAATACTTCGTTTATATGTTAACGATTGGCGCAGTATCTATAAAATTGTTAATAAGTATTTATGTGAACAAAAATTTATTGTCTTTGATTTAAGTGTAGCCCCTGAGCATCCACATAGACTGAGACTCGGTTGGGATATACCAATTAGTAACCTTGATGAATAGAGCGTGACTTCAGATATGCGAGACATTTTTCTGCCTCTTGTAATTCTATCTTTTTTTCCTCAACCTCAAATCGTAATTTTTTATTAGCTTTGACTCTATCCTCATGCTCCATAGTAATTTCTCGCATAAATTTACCAAAAGTTTTTTCATTATGTTCCAGTAATCGTTGACATAAAATATTGACTTCTTTTTTAACCCGACGATTGATCTCCTCCTCATTTACAAAGCAAGGGCATTTATGTACCTGATCACATGTACAAATCGGGACAGTATTTTGGGTTTGGGATTCTTAGTTAACCATGTCTATATTATATATGTGTGATAAATTTTCAAGTGACTGAATTGCGCTACATACACGCATAAATCGTAAGCGCATAGATGTGATTACAGTATATTACAAAGTGTTGTGCAATTATAGAAATATTTTTCTGTATACAGTGTATCGATATCCACATTACTATACTACCATACATAATATATCGAGCGAAAAATAACGAAACATATTACTCCATACTATTTTTCCAGATGCGACTAATCCTTATACATATCTTTTAGAACACGTATCCGCCTTACACGTTGTTCACAAACTGTATATTGTTTAGGGATGACAGAAGTGCGTCTTTCTCTATGCAATCTTGATGCTTTTATTACTAAATCATTCCGAATAGTTACAATATGATTGAGAGTTGACTACAGAATGGAAAAAAATTTTTAAAAAGAGTCTTCGACATAAGAATTTTGCCTAACAATCATAAAGTAATGGCGAGAAAGAAACCTCAATTTGTAGCAATGTTACAACTAATTTCTCAATCATGAGTAGTTGTTCATTCGATTGTGGTAGCTTTGCTTTTTTTAGTAAGCCTAGCCTCCATAAACCTTTTGATTTCCAATCCATGGCATAGACGTTATAAAAAAACCCTAACATGTATAATATACTGTAAATTTCGACAGATGAGCCAACAATTAGTGATCATCAAATGCTGTATTTGAATCTTACCAAATGAATGGACTCCAAGTGTATATATTCGCTTGAAATCCGTACATTCCACTCCATTATTTTCGATAGCTTCTCGCAATAAGACATCGCGCATTGCGACCATCAGATCAACCTTATCGTTCCATTTTTTTGATTTGCAGGCCTCTGGCAATCCTCCAGATCGTAACCCAATAACAATTTCAAATCCGTCACATGTAACCCTAAAATCGCATTTTTGTCCTATAAGAGACCTATCCGTTGGTTTCTTAGTTGTATTTGTAATGAAGGCAGATGCAAGACTTTGTATCTCTCCTCTAAAAATGTCAAAATAATTTATTATTAATAAGCGGAATATAGTTTGGTTAAACTGATACTTCGATATACTTACTCATCATACATAAATTTCCGATGGTATGTCAGAATACCTTTAGTTAACATATTCGTAAAATTGTTGGAAAACATGGCCTCCGGAATCGAGGTTTGTAGTCTCTCCATATTATAGGCGCTTCCATTTGGTAAAAATCATTTTAAAAAATGTTTCCAAACATAAAAAATAGAGATGATGAACTTACTAGGTTTGGATTAATCTTCGTATAGAATTAACTTTTGAACTTCCCTTCAATCAAATCAAATAGTGGTCATGAAATTAAAAATATATAAATTTAGTCATGATAATAATAAAACTGATGTTATACCTCAATTGTACATTTTTCTATTGCTGTGATTAGATCATCCGGCTTCTTTTCAATAGTCTTAACGAATTAAAATTTCAGTAAATAAATCACCAAATAAGTAAAGATGAAGCAAAGATGCAGGTGCTTGTACCTCCTGGATTTTATCAAATAAGTCGTACAGCTTTGTTTCTTCATCTATATCTTTAAATTCTACCGTTTCATTAAAATCGTTTTTCATTTCCGACCATTCGTCATCGGTGAACAGTTTCTTGACTTCCGTATCTTCCCCGGATAAATCAAGTATTCCAAAAAATGCGGGACTGGAAAACCAAGTATTGAAATGTGAGCTGTAAGAACAAACCCTGCAATCGAGTTACTAAAACAGGTGCTTACTATAGGTAAGCCTTCGACTTCGGAATTGCTGCTCTAAAGGTATCCAAAACTTGAGATACGTTTTTTCCTGTAGAGAGTACCCATTCTTCAAATGGAGAATTTGCCACCTGTACAGCTTCTGGCTGGATGACTTCTTCAAGTTCATTCTATTTGAAATAACATAAAAGTCAGCCTTCCAAATGCGCGTTTGTTTGGCGACCAGCTTGCAAAATCTATTTAACCAGATTTTTACCTCTTCGTTCAAAAAATTAACAACATTTACATCTGAGATTTCATCATCATAGTCCTCTTCGTGATCTTTGAGCTTGTAAGAGATAAGTTAGAATAAGTTACAATAGTATATTACACTATAAAATCAATACGGATTTAAGTACCAACCAATTCAGGTGCGAAATTATCAACGTGATCTCCCTCATAACGAATTCGTTTTTCACTCGATGAGGCTTCTTCATTATCCTCCCCTATCCGTTTTTTTCCCGATGTTCGTAGGAATTCCGAAAATTTTTGTTCAGAGAATATGGTTGTGTCAAGGAGTCGAAGTCTTTCGGCAATTTGCAAATCAATATTTCGTTGATAAAATTCTTCATACAATTTCTCACAATTCTCAATTACAATGGATCCTTCATAAGTATTACAAATATTTCGCAATTCGATACAAAGACTTGAAATGGATCCTGGAAATTTTTTATTTGAGTTTTTCGCAATAAAATCGAGAGATTTTTGCCAATTGTCGTATACAGTGGACCACGGTAAAATAGATTCATCTGACTTTAAACGAAAGCTCAAGTAGTGCTTTAATTGCCAATGTTGGGCTGGAATTTTCTTAAAATAACAGTGCGTATTTTCTGAGGTAGGTACTTTAAATTCTAAGAATTTTTTAGATCTAAGAACCGCCGTCATATTTGTAGAAAAGCAATACACGCCACTCTGGTTATATCGACATTTTTGAGACATTAGTAAAAAAATTCAAAATGTCGGTACAGTGAGTTATACCGACATTTTATATTAAATTTTTGAAAAAAAATGGGTATAGAAAGATTTTACTATGATGTCGTTATATCCAGATGTCGGTATAACCAGAGTGACGTGTAGTATAGTAACGCGTTTTGATGATCAGGTAATCGGATCAGATAATCAGTATTGTGATCGAGAAGTATTTTAGACAGACAAAAAAGATAGCAAAAATAATGAGGGTGCAACTATGCTGAAGTTTCTCACGTCTGTTCTAGTCAATTGGCGGTGAGAGCTTCCTTTGGTATATTTACCTAGGAGACGCCATACTTCATGTCTGTTCCAGTCAATTGGCGGTGAAGTTATGAGTTGCTTGGTGACTAACAACTATCCGTGTCTGTTCCAGTCAATTGGCGGCGGTAGTTGATCCAATTACTTTGCTGAAGTTTCTCATGTCTGTTCCAGTCAATTGGCGGTGAGAGCTTCCCTTGGTATATTTACCTAGGAGACGCCATACTTCATGTCTGTTCCAGTCAATTGGCGGTGAAGCTATGAGTAGCGGATATTCAAGTTATTTCTTGGTGGTCATCAGCCTCTTATCAACATACATTTTTACATACACACTCACATTTAAGAATTAGAAACTTGATTTGGACGAAACTTTATTGATTTTTAAGTAAAACGAAACTAGAGAGGGAGGATCTTAGGCCATTTAATGCGAGTCCCAGTATCAAGTTATTTCTTTGCTCTCGAATAATTTCTATAATTGTTTTATTTCTATCGCTATTGCCAACTACTAGATTTCTGAAATAAATTATCAAACTCATCTCTCCAGAATCTTCGTCTATCTATATCACTCCCACTATGTAATAGATTATTTCCCACAAGAGAACTTTCCCGAGATGAAATGATTTCGAATTTATAGGAAGAATTTTTGAGATTAGCAATGAGATAAAAAAAATAAATAACGACTTTCGATTCACACCGCTATAATTCTTTTTAATGATATTCCACGCCGTCATAATATTTATCGTCAGCGCCAAACATGTGATGATAGTCCAAGATTTTCTCGAAGATCAAAATGCCGATATATAACAAGAAAGTAATATGCCATTTTATTTTGGAACACCTATAGAGGCGGGAAAATCGATTAATACCGTTTGTTCGATTGTTGGATATGGTGATTTAAATAATGGTAAGTTTGAATGTTTCGCTTAATTTTTATTTGCACAAGGCGGATAAAAGGATTCATTATAATTAAGGCCTCACTTTTTTATGATTTGTAGTGCGTCTAAGGATAAATTTTTGGAATAAATATTTAGGAAAATTACGTTATTATGACTTATTACCAGTCACACGATTTGTCACATCTAAAATTTTAACATATGATTTTTCGTACATTACACAAATCGACGAATTACAGTTTTAAAATTTTTGCCTAAACCTTTAGTTGAAATACATATCGTTCCATATAACAAAATTATTCTTGAGGTTTTTACGAATCGTATGGTACACGGATCGTACAAAATAAACCGTTCCCTATAAAATGCTACACCCTTGAAGGCGAGTAATTATTTTACATACTTTCGACGCATTCTTTCTGAGTTTGCAAATTTTTTACCTGTAAAGTGGTTCACTAGGTGCGCCATAAGAAGAGCTTTCGGCAAAATGCATCTTCGAAAGGCGGGTACATTAAGAACATAACGCGGAAAATCAAGAAAACTATTTTATAGTAAGTAGATCGCTCATTAATTCGTCGCAACTCATATATTTTAAGCTATTCA